ACTGTGTTTCGTCCAGTTACTGGGAGGTTTGGGATATTGCCTTGTTGTTTCCAGCGCTTAACTGTGGATTATTTCCTGAACCAGCGGAATTCGTGGATTTAATATTGGCGTTCCGCTACAAAAAATAAACTATTTCTAAAGGTAAATTCACAAAATATACAAGTCACATGCATTGTGTTTAGACAGTGGAGCTGTGTGTATTTGTGTAGTGTGTATATAATGAATGCAGGGTGTGTTTGTGTAGTGTGTATAGTTAATGCAGTGACTGTGTAGTGTGTATAGTTAATGCAGTGACTGTGTAGTGTGTATATAATGAATGCAGAGTGTGTGTGTTTATGTAGTGTGTGGTGTGTAAAGTGAATGCAGTGTGTGAGTATAATATGTATAGCGAATGCAGTGTGTGTAGTGTGTGTATAGTGAATGCAGTGTGTTTGTATATAATGTAGTGTGTGTGTATATAATGTAGTGTGTGTATATATACTGCAGAATGTGTAGTGTGTGTATATATAACGCAGAGTGTGTAGTGTGTGCATTATATACACACACTACATTATATACAAACACTACACACTCTGCATTATATACACACACTGCATTATATACACACACTACACACTCCGCATTATATACAGAGTGTGTAGTGTGTGTTTTCCTAAAGGGATGTGATTTGTGTAAAATGGGGGGAGATGGAGGGCATTTTTTATTTGAATGTTTAATATTTATGTTTTATTTAAATTTTTTTGTCCCCCCTCCCTGCTTGTTACCTGGCCAGGGAGGGGGGATATGTTAATCCCTGGTGGCCCAGTGGCATTGGCTGAGCAGTGGGGGGGGGGCAGCAGCAAGTGCTTACTTACCTTTCCAGCAGCTCCTCCAGTTCCCTGTGTAAATCTCGCGGCTAGTGTGCCATGCGGAGTGTTGCCATGGTAACCCGTGGCAACGCTCTGACGGCCGCGGGTCTCGCGAGATTTACCCAGGGGAGCTGGAGGAGCTGCTGGAAAGGTAAGGAAGCGCTTGCTGCCGGCCCCCCAGGACCGCCGGGCTTGTAATGGGTATGCATTATCAGCAATATCGGTATCTATATGGGCCGATACCGATATTGCCGAAAATACAGAATATCGGCCGATTATATCGGTAAAAACGATAATCGGTCGATCCCAAGCGCGCATAGTGATAAGGTGCTCCATAACAGAGAGACCCGTGAAAAAAACCCTGCCACACTGCAAAAATTGGCCTCCAAAACCCTGAATCTCAATCTGATTGAGTATCTGTGGAATTTGTTGGAACAACAAATCTGATTCATGGAGCCTCAGCCTCGCAACTTTACTTAAAAAAAATTGCTGAAAATGCCAGATACCCCAGGACACAATCAGAGGTCTTGTGGAGTCCATTACTCAACGCATGAGAGCTGTTTTGGTAGCACGAAGGGGGCCTACACAATATTATGTAGGTGGTTTTAATGTTGTAAAGATCAATGTAGATTTGCAGAATAACAATGAGATTTTTTTTTTTATTTTTTTTTTATATAAACCTTGTATGTTTCTTTTATATGTGGAAATGTGTATGTTATATCTGCAGGCACAAGTTCAATTAGCTTGGATTCATGGAATTCATTTACCAAAAATTTACATTTTTCATGAATATACAGCCTCATGCTTCATAACTGATCCAATTCCAACAACCCTTGGACTGTAGACTACCTTTAGGTCGATTTTTTTTTTTTTTTTTTATATATATATATATATATATATATATATATATATATATATCTAAAAGCATATCATTAAAATAAATCCATTCTGAATAAATTAAAAAATCCAAATGCTTTATTTTTATTTTAAAATGTTTATCGATGCTGGTGTTTATCAAAGAGATGGGTCGGAAATGTTGACAATTATTTGGAAGTTTGCCTTGTGAAGGCAATGTGGAGATATACAGGTAATGCCTCAGAAGGTAACATAACATGTGTGTTGGCAAAGTCAAACCATGTCACCATTTAGTTGGGGAGAGATAATGGAGGGGATTTTGTTTGTAATACTGAGGGGCTTTTCCATAGGGAACGCTCTTGATTATTTTAACAATTTTATTTCTAAAATTTGGAATATATATATAAAATCATGTTGTATAGAGAGAACAAGTGGGGTAGTTGGATCCCTTAGAGGAAATGTGTTTCATGGGATGAAGGCATCGATCATTTTAGAAATTGTATAGTTCACTATAGATTTCTGCACATTCATTACAGATATCTTGGGGTTTTAAAAGATCCCCCCACCCACAGATTACAAGACATTTAGGTCTGAGACTGTTTGTCATGTTCACAGCAGATAATAATTCACCGTCTCGATTGCCCTGAACATAATATTTAATCTTTAACTTTTGACTTGTGTGGGCTGTTCTGGAGAAAATAATGTTGCTACAGCAATTTTTAGTATCTCCCCTGTGTTGCTTTTATTTTTGCTAAGTTTTTTGTTTCTACATATGACAATCTGCATTCTAGATATGTGCATTTATCTTACTGTACACTTTCTAATAATACAGTCACTATTTGTGTAATTTCTAAAATCAAATTTCACATCTGACATGTTGTGTGCACTTTGAAATATCCATTATTCACTTTGATTTGCGTCAGCATTGTTTATCATGTATGTTTTACGTATACCTCAATAATTGTAGGCTAACGGGCAGGGCCCTCTACCTGTTGTATTGGTTTGCTCTTATTGTATTGTCTTTTTCCCAATTGTACAGCGCTGCAGAATATGTTTGTCGCTTTATAAATACAAGTAATAAATTAATAATAAACAGATCTTTAAAAAAAGAAAATATAGGAAAAGATGATTTGAGGCTGGTGGTGGAACGACCATACTGAACCACATTAGTCTTGGACATGGGGTTATTGTCTAGAGTACAGGGGATCTATGGAATTTCTCTATCCAGATTGAAGAAATTTATAAGTAAGAGTCATCAGTATATATAATTGAAACAGTAAGCTTCCTAGCTAAATGTTTCTGCCACTTTTTCAACTGGTGAGCTTGAAGAGACAGTAGCAACTACACAATTCTGAAACAAAGCTGAAATTCCTAAAGAGGCACTGCTCCTCTCTTCCTCCTATTTGCAAAATGAGTATCACATAAAGATAGACATTGGGCAGAGCCATTGCCATCTAATTGTGTCAATCCCCCAGCCGTCACTTGTTACAGCTACAGGGAATTGGCCCTGTCTCTGAAGTGCCAAGAGCTAAAGTATACTGACCGGAGGAAGATGGCTGCACCCGCAATGGTCAGGCTCAGTTAAGTTAAATTCGCCTTTGTCTGCCCCCCACGGCCACCACTCCCACAATGGCGATGTCACCGGAAGTCCCCAGACAGTGAAGGTATCACTTTAAGGTTCCTATGTCGTAGTGATGGCCACTCCAAATGTCGCACTAACCATAGCTATTTAATTGCCAAGCTTTCCCACTAAAAGCTAGAGCTATGCACACAGCAATCCACATCCGCTAAAACAAAAAGAAGGTGTAGGGGGCAGAGGATATGAATTTTTGTGAAAGAAACCATCTGACCATAATCTTAGATGTGTTCTGCTTGACTGTAATGGCAGCTGGTGTATATTCTGGAGTGTTAGTCTATTCTTAATCATCCAATGTTTCAGTAAAGTAAGATTCCCTCTTATTTCTGTGGGTGGAGGGCAAAGGTTATGTCAAGGATGTGGGAATGTAAAAATTAAATAGCACCTTATTAGTTAGTGTTTACTCCGCATAGATAATCAACCTGTATTAACTTAATAGGGTGAAGGAGAAGTAATGCAGGCATTGGATAGTTTTACCATTTTCGGAAGGGACTGGGGCTGCATTATTTATTTTAGTTAGTCGATTAATCGTATAGAATAAATATCTAGTTTTTCCATAGTATTTAGAGCAAAAGCAAAAAAAGTTACCTGTGTACTAGCCCACTACTAAAAACATCATGTTCATTAAATGTGCATAGGGATTTGGGATAGTGTGAAGATTTTTTTGGCTGCTGTTCTATGTATTTAGTTGTTTGTATTGGCATTGACTTGAAGCATTATCTTACCTTGCACTGACAGTGACTGACATTATTCTGACATGATGCCCATATAGTTTATAGTTTTAAAAACTAAATATTGCTGGTACCTATATTTGACTTGTTACTTCATTACTACTACTAACCAGGAAATGTGCAGCTGAATTTGTGGATTATGTTCTGCTTTTACTATTTGATTCATCCTGCTCCTTTTCTCTCATATTTTTCGGTCATTCTAGGACACAGTGAGACATTTTGTCCTGTTTTCCAATTTCTCTAATCACCACTCATACATAATTCTTTGTTGTTTCAACCAAATGCAAAGTTGCAACCGTTTCGGAATATTATTTTGTGTATGATAAAAATTAATCACTTGGAAGCAGAAAGGGCACAAAATAAATTAAAACATCTAATTTTACGTCTGCAAGATGTGATATGTCAGGAGCAGAAAAGTAGATGATAAAAGTCGGACGAAAGCAAGCCTGTGTACTATTTAATTAATGAGACAAAGTCCCATGCTACTGTTCACCCCACTCACGCACCTTCATGTTCCGATTATAACTTTTCACATATTGTTTGTTGTCAATTGCAAGCAAAATTAAACTATTCCTAATAACCAGTCAAATGCTGGATTACTTAGAAACATAGTGTTGTATTTTATTTAGATCTTTATTGATGTACCCTTATTTTACTTCCAATATTTGTTTGACAAAACCTTTAAGACTTTGACACATGAACAAGCAGTCCTTCCTCTTTAGAGTTTCACCACATGCATATATCCCATCCCACATACCACTAGCTGCTACTAAGTTATTGAGGAAAAATGTATGAAGTTAGATAGAAAAACATATGCCGCTTTCTAGAGATATATATATATATATATATATATATATATAACTGATAGTGTCAAAGGTTGCACTCACGGATTCATTAAAAAATAACTTTTATTGAACTTTCCTAAAAAATCAACGTTTCAGTCCTACTCAAGGACTTTCATCAGGATTATGTAAACATAATCCTGATGAAAGTCCTTGAGTAGGACTGAAACGTCGATTTTTTTTTTTTAGGAAAGTTCAATAAAAGTTATTTTTTAATGAATCCGTGAGTGCAACCTTTGACACTATCAGTTGGATATTTGGAGCCCTGGGAGTGCACCCGGTCTGGAAATTTGGAGTTTGAGTGCAAGGTATAGTGCCTTTTTCTTTTATATATTTATATATATATATATATATATATATATATATTATTATTATTATTATTATTATTATTATTATTTATTTTTTTTTACTATGGTTTTATTGGGAAATTCTATATATATATTTTTCAGTTATAGAAAGAGAGGCAAAAAGATGAGCATGCATTCTTGCAGGACTCAGTTTGGTAGCGTAATCATTGAAATACAATCGGTTTCCAAAGAGTAAACGATATTGTAATTATACATCTATGGAGAAAAACAAAAAGAGTCAGCGCTAAGCAAGCAAACCAGGACGGTAGTAGATAAGGCAGCAACCCAGGGTAAGGGGTCCCTGAAAAACCCTTAAGGGTAGTCACAAAAAATGGGTAGCACAAAGGTACGGTAGGGCTGCGCTACAACCTATGAGTGAATATTGGAGATATATATATATATATATATATATATATATATATATATGTGTCTTTTTAAGAGACTTTGGGTCAAGTGCGTTCTTTTGAGTTTAGGAGGGTACAGAACTTCACTTCTCAGCTGGCCGTAGTATACAGAAAGGGGCGACAAGAAATGAAGAGGCTGATATAGCATTAAAATAGTAGGGTTACACTCACATGTGGTGGAGCTTAGGCCAGCTCTGGTGTGTATAGCATACAGTGGTATGATCACCACTGACGGATATAATGCGGGTGTTACATAGTTACATAGCTGAAAAGAGACTTGCGTCCATCAAGTTCAGCCTTCCTCACATTTGTTTTTTGCTGTTGATCCAAAAGAAGACAAAAAAACCAGTTTGAATCACAATTTTGCAACAAGCTAGGGGAAAAAAATTCCTTCTTGACCCCAGAATTGCAGTCAGAGTTATCCTTGGATCAAGCAGTTATTACCCTACATTGAAAGATTATATCCTTGAATATTCTGTTTTTGCAAGTATGCATCTAGTAGCTGTTTGAACATCTGTATGGGCTCTGATAAAACCACTTCTTCAGGCCGAGAATTCCACGTTCTTGCAGTAAAAAAACCCTTTCTTTTGCCTTAGACGAAATTGTCTTTCTTCCAGTCTAAACGCATAACATTGTGTCATATGTAAAGTCCGGTTTGTGAATAGATTTCCACACAATGGTTTGTATTGGCCCCGAATATATTTGTATAATGTTATCATATCCCCTCTCATGCAATGTTTTTCTAAACTAAATAGGTTTCAATTTGTTAACCTTTCTTCATAGCTGATATGTTCCATTCCTTTTATTCATTTTGTAGCCCGCCTCTGCACTTTTTCTATTGCCATAATATCCTTCTTTAGAACAGGTGCCCAAAATTGCACAGCATATTCAATATGTGGTCTTACCAGTGATTTATAAAGAGGCAAAATGATATTCTCGTCCCGAGAATGAATGCCCTTTTTCATGCATGACAATACCTTACTGGCCTTGGCCACTGCTGATTGACATTGCACAGTTTGTTGTCTATAACAATTCCCAAGTCGTTTTTGTGTGTTGTTATGCCTAATTCGCTTCCATTAACCCCTTCAGGACAGAGTCAATAGTACACGTTCTGATCAAAACAAAATGTAAACAAAAACTGGTATTTGCGCTATGTCTGTTAAGCCGTAATTCACCTCTTTCATATTAAGTGCACCCACACTTATTATATATCATTTTGTTCACGAAAAACTGGGGTTTAATTTTTTAATTTCTCACGAACTATTCATATTTGAAACATAATTGAAACTGAATAAAATTTAAATTTATTATGAATAAATTTATTATGAATAAAATTTAAAAAACTGTGAGAAATTAAGATTTTTAAAACAATTTGTAGACATTTTAGCTGTAAATGTCATAATACTGTTAGCTTTAACTGCAAAACCCCCCCACATATTTGGATTCAGCAAAGTCTCACGAGTACAACATTCCCCCTCATTAACAGTTTTTACGGTGTTTTGGGAAGTTAAAGGGTCAAATATAGCTCATTCCATTTTTCAGTTTTTTTTCAAATTGAAATTTGCCAGGTTGGTTATGTTGCCTTTGAGACCATGTGGTAGCCCAGGAATGAGATTTACCCCCATGATGGCATACCATTTGCAAAAGTAGACAACCCAAGGTATTGCAAGAGGGGTATGTCCAGTCTTTTATAGTAGCCACTTAGTCACAAACACTGACCAAAGTTAGCGTTCATATTTGTTTTTGTGTGAAAAAAGTAAAAAAACAAATATTTGGCAAGTGTTTGTGAATAAGTGGCTACTAAAGATGACTGGACATACCCCATTTGCAACACCTTGGGTTGTCTACTTTTTCAAATGGTATGCCATCATGGGGGTAATTCTCATTCCTGGGCTACCATACGGTCTCAAATGCAACGTAACCAATCTGGCAAATTTCAATGTGAAAAAAATGAAATGCAAGCCTTATATTTGACTCTCTAACTTTCCAAAACACCATAAAACCTGTACATAGGGGGTACTGTTATACTTGGGAGACTTCACTGAACACAAACATAAGTGTTTCAAAACAGTAAAACATATTACAACAGTAATATCGTCAGTAAAAGTGCCGTTTGTGTGTGAAAAATGCAAAAAAAGTCACTTTTACTAAATATATCATCGTTGTAATTCAATTTATCATTTTGAAACACTAATATTTGTGTTCAGCGAAGTCTCCTGAGTAAAACAGTACCCCCATGTACAGGTTTTATGGTGTCTTGGAAAGTTACAGGGTTAAATATAGCGCGTGCGAATTTAATTCTCTGCACTTGCTGCCTGGGTTGTCAGGCACGTCAATCAAATTTTTATTAATTAAATCACATAATTATGTTAAAATATTACTTAAGCATACACGTAGACTTTTTATATATATATATATATATATATATATATATATATATATATATATATATATATATATATATATATATACATATATATGTATTTAAATTCTATGTGTATACATATGTAGTTATTTATGTAATTATATATTTATCTATATATAAATATTTGCAGTTATTTGTATTTTATATATAGATATATATAGACTGTCATTTTAAGTGTATTTTGTTACCAATATATATGTATTAATAAAATATGCTTAGAATGAAATTACAGATGTATATATAATTTATTTACATTTTAAAAAAAATATTTTATTTTATTGATTTACTATTGTAATTATCTATATATATATATATATATATATATATATATATATATAAAACATAAAATATATATGTAACGTCATTCTAAGTGTATTTTAAGATTAATATATATACTTATATTAACATTATAATACATTACTTATCACGTTACATATATATAAGATGTATATATATTAGATATATAATATATATATATATTTTATATATACATATATACACATTTAATTTATTTTAAAATGTTTATTTTTATTTTTTTTTACACTTCCCACCAGCAGGGGGACTGTCTGACATTTCAGACAGTCCCCCTGCTGGCAGATCCACAGCCAGCTATAGGGGGCCATGTGATTGCTCTTTGAGAGCGATCATATGCCCCCCTGGGGGCCTCATTTGCCGGGGGAGGGCTGCCTGGGCTGTCAGTCAGCCCTCCAGAAGAGGATCGCGGCGGAGGTGAGTACCGCGGACCTTCAGGGGCAGAAAGCCGTTACAGATCAAATGCCTTGGCAAAATCCAAATAGATCACATCCACTGCAACACCCTGATCTATACTTCTACTCACTTCTTCGTAGAACGCACTCAAGTTAGTTTGACCTGACCTGTGCTTCATAAAACCGTGCTGATTTTTGCTGATAATCATGTTCTTCTCAAGGAATTCTTGAATATTATCCCTTAATAACCTTTCAAATATTTTCCCAGCCACAGAAGTTAAGCTCACAGGTCTATAATTTCCAGGCAAGGATTTTGAACACTTTTTGAATATAGGAACCACATCTGCTTTCCTCCAATCCTCCAGAACACTTCTTGAATGAAAAGAATCTTGAAAGATTAAGGTTCACTTATTTCTACACTTCGTTCCTTAAGTACTCGTGGATGGATACCGTCAGGCACTGGAGCTTTGTTTATATTAAATTTCTTTAGTTGCTGCAGCACCTTGTCTTGAGTTAACCAATTACAATTATTCTGCAAGTTTTTAGTAGCAATCATTTGCACATCTATTGCTATGGGTTCTTCCTTAATATATACGGAGGAGAAATAGTTATTTTAAATTCCTGCCTTTTCCTGGTCTTCATTAACTAACACCCCCGTTTCATTTTTTATTGTTCTGGGACTTGAGGGATGTCAAGACCCAAAATGACAAAAAAGGCAGCAATAGTGCTCTCAATAATATATAAGTAAGCAGTCACAGTGGTTATAGGGTAACACTCACATTTGTTAGAGCCTAAGTCAGCTCTTGTGTGCGTAGCATACAGCGGTATAATCCCCACTTGAAGGATATGGTGCAAGTGTTCTTAAAGATGGAGGTGTCAGGAACCCAAAACGACAAAAAGTATAAGGCAGCAATAGTGCTCTCAATGAGATATATACGGTCAATAGGATAAAATGAGAATATACTTGCAGAGATAGAGCAGGCTAACTGCTCTATGGTGACAGGATTGGATTGATCCCCACCTAGGATTCTTTGGAGTACATGAAAAAAGTAATGGTTGCCAGGTAGAATAAAAATAAGGTATACAATAATAAAAATAGTAAAAGTATAATTAAAGATAGTGGCAGAATAATAGGTGACCAAAATCAATGTATTAGTTAAAAAAAAACAGCTATAACATACATCCAAACGTGTTTCACTGAAATGGCTTCATAAATGGAGTAAAATAGATTTTGGTCCCCTACTATTGTGCCCCTATCTTTTATTATACTTTTACTATTTTTTATTTAGCCGTACTGTACCTTTTTGCTACCCATCTTTAATTATACATCTATGTTGTGGAATCTAAGCCATGTCAATAACAAATCATGAGTATAAGTATAAGAATGTGTATCCACCCTTTTAAGCTAAATGTGTAACCCTGGTATAATTAAACCATAGGCTATAATAGTATTGGGCAATTTCATATAACCTAGTTTAAGGAATGGGCGTATTAATATAGACAGAGAGCACTATTCACCTTAACCCAATGGGAAGCGATGCCCAGTGTGCTAGCATAACAGTTCCATTGTGTCTGGGTCAGGTGGAACCAAAACACACAGTACAAATCACCACAAATAGACTTTCCGTATACCGGTCCTTAGAGTGGCCAAACTAACAGAATAACAGAGTATGTGAGAATAGCCTAGGTCAAAGGGAGCCTACCTTTCAACGTTCCTCCTATCACCATGATCCCTCTCATAAGAGGGAGGTGCAGCCTTTAGATTGATGCCATCTATAAAGCAGGTCTGCTACACTGAGGGGTCATCGATATGGAAAGCAGAAAAGATACGTTTAGAACTAAGGAGGTGCAGGGCACCGCCATGCATATTTGCGGATTACTCATCATCAGGGCCAGTATCCTCATCCCCCATTATGTACCCAACGCCCCGCAACAAATTCAAACCAGGGATGCCACATCTTGGTGTGCCTCGCATCAGTACCAGTTAGTAAAACTTGCATCAATTCTGTGGACTGAATGTCCTCTACTCTGTCAAACCATTGTTCCAGTATGGGGGCGTTTGTCTGCTTCGAGAGGGCAGGCACTAGTGCTTAGCGGCATTGAGATGGTGTCTCAATATGGACTTTTTGTATTGAGACATCAGGAGGGAAGTATGTTCTATAGTGAGGTCTGCAATTTTGGCTTTGACCATGTCCCAAAATGAAATTGCAGTCTCAACAAATATGTCTATTTGTTCAGACTCCGTCTCCGCATCTCGTATTCTAGATATTTGTATTCCATTTCAGTGTTCTACGACCTTGCTTTTGGCTATAAGAATAGTTTCACTAAATGTGGAAGGTCTCAATGGCTCTAAACAAGCATTTTATTTCGGAAGCTCAAGCACTTGCACGTAGATATGGCGATTGTACAGGAAACCCAAAACCTCTCCTACTAAATTAGTTGCTCATATTCATGGTAGGGCATTCATAAAAGCTCCTCACACAAGATAAATGGGGAAATAACTGCAGCTTTGTGATCACCCAGGAACTTAATGGCGAAGAGCGAAGATATGTAATGACTGTGATTGCAGGGTCTCTCAAAGGTCAGGTGCTTCATTTTCTTCTTCTTTTTGCTCCCACTATGTATGATCCCACCTTTTGGGATCCTATCAGAAGTCTGAAGTCAGATCCCAATAATTTGTTAGTCGAGAGGTGAGGGGACTTCAGTGATGCTCAGGTACCATAATTTTGGGTGGCCACAATAAACTATTGCATAGGACTCACTACCCAGATGACGTTGATTATTCCTTTTATTCTGCCCCTCACAATACCTAATCACAAACTGATCTCTCTTTAGTGAATTCATAGCAACTTGTCTCTATGACAGAAATTAACTCCATTCTGTGGTCGACCATGCCGACATCACTATTTTTCTATCGACCCATTAGGTGTACCCTTCAGGGAGCTGGAAGTTTAATTTCTCATTTACTTAAAGACCAGGAAGTCCCTGAGGCAGCCTCTACTGAATTATGCAATTATTTTACTGATAATTCCAGACTGCCACTAGAGACGCTTTCTGCTATTTCACAGAGTTTGAGTCCGTGAAACAATGCCGGATGTCTGGAGTCTGAGGGGCTGAGGGACACCATAGCTTTGTATTCCTAATACTTTAATGTTCCTTTAAATCTTTTATTTCAAAAGTTAAAACGAGTTAAAAAAAATTAAACATTTAAAAAAAAAAAAGTCACCATAAAATAGTAAAAAAAAACAACAAAAAAGGCTCAGGCAGTATTTTTTATTATATATATATATATATATATATATATATATATATATATATATATATATATATATATATATATATATGTGTGTATTTTTTTTTTAATTACATTTACCCTTAACCCTTTTAAGGACAGAGCTTCAGAAGCTTGTCTTTCACTTAATGACAACAGCATTTTTGCGTTCAACTGCAATTTGCGTTTTACTAATTTATTGCACCAACACATATTATTTACCGTTTTTTAAAAGGACAGAAAGGGCTTTAATTTGATGTAACATATATATATATATATATAATATATATATATATATATATATATATATATATATATATAATATGTATATATATATATATATGTGTGTGTGTGTGTGTATATATGCATATATATATATATATATATATATATATATATGCTTATTTATTATAAAAAAATACAGAAAAATGCAACAAAAAAAAGTTGTGTTTTTTTTTTTTTTGGCAATAAAAATGTGTGCAGAATTAGTGCAGGTTAAGGAAAGTAATTAAAAATAAATTAATTTAGTTCTTATTTACAGAATATATAATGTGTCTGGGATTGTAAGTTTTTTTTTTTTTTTTTTTGGTAGTTACAGGTCACAAAGCACAAGTAAAATAAACCTTTAATGTGGAGCGATTTTAGAATTTGGTATGTTTGTCTTGTAAGCTTAATAGCCATAAAAGAAAACAAAATTGTCACACAAAAGTATATATTTATATAAAGTAGACATCACGGGCTATTTACCTAAGGTTGTTTTGACACTTTCTACGTAGCCATTTCACCGCCAACCTCTGCTAAATATTGGAGTAAAATTGTGTTGTTTTTTTGGGGTTTTTTTGGCACACAAACTTATAACAAAGAAATTCTCATGTGTATTTTGTAAAGTTGGTGTGTGCTATTCCTGTACAAAGTTTTTTATTTTGTGTTCAGTTACATCTGCTGAGTAAAATGACACCCCCATTGTATGTCCTTGGCACTATTTCGTGAAGTTACAGTGCCATATATGAGACCTGTCCTTTTCAGTATTCACAGTAGAATTTTGAGAGACGGATTTAATGAGCCGTTGCTTCCATTTGGGGTATTATAGTAGCAGTGGCGTACTAAGGGGAGGGCGGGAGGCGGTCCGCCCCGGGTGCCACTCAGTAGGTGGGTGCCAGGCTCTGTACCTCCTGTTCTCCCCCAGACCGGCACTCAGTTTGTGAGTCAGAGCACAAGGAAGGGATTCCCAGCCTGTGTTCTGACTCAAACACTGAGATGCAGGGAGGCTATTTCGGAGTGTACCAGCAGGGGGTGCAGAGCCAGGTTGCTCCCCCACGGTCATTCTGTACATGCAGGGGATCAGCTCTCTAGATCCCCTGCACCTGCTGCCTGCCTGGGAAGGAGCTGCTGCCTCTGCACCCTCCTAAATGGTAAGTAACTATTATACCCCCCTGCCATTATACCCCCCACCATCCCTGCCTTTATAACCCCCCTGCCATTATACCCCACCCCCACTGTCATTATAACCCCCCCTGCCATTATACCACCACCCTTCCTGCCCCACACCCCCCTGCCCCACCCCACCCCCACTGCCATTATACCCCACCTCTCTGCCATTATAACACCTGCCATTATACCCTCCTGCCATTATAATCCCCCTCGCCATTATACCCTCCGCCATTATAATCCCCTACCCTATACCCCACCTCCCTGCCATTATAATCCCCTGCCCTATACCCCACCTCCTGCATTATAATCCCTCCTGCCCTATACCCCCACCTCCCTGCCATTATAATTCCACCCCTCTTCCCCTTTACCCACACCTGCCCTATACCCCCACCTCACTGCCATTAAAACCCCCCATGCCATTATACTCCTTCCCTATACCCCCACCTCACTGTCATTATAACCCCAGAGCAGCCACCAAAAGGTGAGACCGACCCTGCTGATCCTGCACCCTCCTAAATGGTAAGATACTACTATACCGCCCTAACCCCATTGCCCTATACCCCCCTGCCATTATAACCCCACCCCCTTCCCTATATCCCCCACCCTCCCTGCGCTATTCCCCACCCTCTGTGCCATTATACACCCACCCTCCCTGCCCTATTCCCCCATGCAATATCACACACTAAGTCCCAGACCCCAATCTACTCCGACCCTCCTAGGCACATACAACTGTTCCCCTACTGTCACATAGACACATTACACACAGGCTCACATTCACAAATTACATATGCAGTCACACACAATGCACATAGATACTCTGACACAAACACATTTTTTTACACAAGGGACAAGGACAGATATATTCTGGGAGGCAGTGAGGTTAGTGCGCGCCCTGCAGTGAACCGGCAGCTGGGATAAGATGTCATCCTGGCATCGGCATCACTACTGGGAAAACAAGTGAGCTGTGCAGGAAGAGCACCCAGCCCAGCAGCAACCGCAAATCACTATGGGGAAGATCCAAGAGCAAGGTAGGGAAGCTGGGTGGACCTCTTAATTACTAAATGTGTGTAAGAATGTGATTTTTGTGTGTGTCTGTGATTGTGTGTATCTCTGATGTTAAGTGTGTGTTTATTGTGATTGTGTGTCTGTGATTAAGTGTATGTCTGTGATTGTGTGTGTATTTATATACACAAACAACCACAGATGTACAAGTCTGTGTGTATAAATGGGTATGTGTTTAGTAGATAGCTCCCTTATTTGGTGTCCTTAAATATGTCAATCCCACATAAGGATAACAAATAAGGGAGTTATCTACTAAACAACTGAAAGATTAAAATTAAGCAAAATGCTTTTAAATTTTAATCTTTTAGCAGTTTAGTAGATAATGCCAAATGCTCTTGGTACGCCTCTGTATAGTAGTTTGACTGTTAAAAAAAAACAAAAAACAAAAACACAAAGGCCTACCATTTGTAAAAGTAGACACTCCAGGGTATCTCATAAGGTGCATATTGTGCCTTAACATGCCCCCATTTTTTCACCAATATATGCCAAAGTATGTGGTAAAAAATAATTTTGTGCATTTTTACGTATGGATTGCATTTTTGCTGGGCATTTTGTATATTTCATATGTGCCACTAAGTTCAAACACCCCAAATTATGCTCAGCTAAGTCTTCTGAGTAAAATGACACCCCCATTGTATGTCTTTGGCACTATTTCGTGAACCTACAGTGCCATATAGGAGACCTGTCCTTTTCAGTATTCACAATAGAACTTTGAGAGACGGATTTAATGAGCCTTTGCTTCCATTTGGCGTATTATAACAGTTTGATTGTTCAAAAAAACCCACAAAGGCCTACCATTTGTAAAAGTAGACACTCCAGTGTATCTCATAAGGTGCATATTGTGCCTTAGCATGCCCCCATTTTTTCACCAATATATGCCAAAGTATGTGGTAAAAAATTATTTTGGGCATTTTTTACATACAGATTGCATTTTTGCTGGGCATTTTGTATATTTCATATGTGCCACTAAGTTCAAAACCCCCTAATTATGCTCAGCTAAGTCTTCTGAGTAAAAAGACACCCCCAATGAACGTCTTTGGCACTATTTCGTGAAGCTACAGTGCCATATAGATAACCAAGCCATATCCGTTTTTACCGAACAATTTCCAAGCATCTTCGCAGGTTTTAAATTCAAACTACCCCACAAAGGCCTACCATTTCTTAAAGTAGACACCCCAGGGTGTTTCAAAAGGTATATTTTGAACCTTAGCGTGGTATCATTTTTCCACTAGCTTGTACCAGGTGTAGTGGTAATAAGCGTTTTTTCTGCCTTTTTGACACACAAGTGAGTTTGCACAGTATATTTTGCAAATCTTATGTGTGCTACGACTGTATAATACTTCATATGTTGCTCAGCTATGTGGTCTGAGTACAGCAATACCCTCGTATGTACCTTTGCCAGGTAAATGTGGATGTTGAAGGGGCACATTTGAGACGCAGCCATTCATTTTTTTCTAACTTTGAAGTTTTACGCTGTGTCCATGTTCCAATTTAGAGTAGCTTAGATGGTTGGTTATTGAAACTTCCCCACAAACACATACTATTTATTAAAGAATACACCCTGGGGTAATTCAAAAGGCATATTTTGAACCTTAGCATGGGATAATTTTTTCTCTAGTTTGTTCCAGGTGTAGTGGTAATGAGCGTTTTAAAATGTATTTTTTTTTACTTTTTTAAACTTGTTTTACTTTTTAAAACTAGTTTTTAAACTTTTGTTTTGTTTATTTATTTTTTTAAACTTTCCTAAACTTTCTTAAAACTTTTTTTTACAGATTTAACATTTTTCTAAGCTTTTTTTTTTATACCGTTAACCCCTAACTAGCAGTAAGCAGCACTAACAGTAAATTCCCCATTTTCCCATAACTCCCACCCAACCAAGCTAGCAAAATATATAATTATAAAATATTTAAATTAGTTAATTAAATAAATTGAACCCATGAGGGTTAAAAAATAAATAAAAGTTAATCGTCAAGGGTTAAAAAAATAATATTGTGATCTGTATTTTGATCACTGTAGGCAGTGATCGACTGGCAGGGAAGGGGTTAATTTTTATTTGGACTGGGTAACGGGGGGTGTTTTTTTTTTTTTGTTTTTTTTTACTTAAACGTTATTAAAACTTTTAAATTTAATTTTTAACTTTTTAAAGCTTATTTTAAAACCTTTTTTAACGTTAACCCCTAGTTAGCCTAACACCAAATACCCCAATTTCCCACTAACTTCCACCCACCCCAGCTAGCTAAATTTATAATTTTAAAATACTTAAATTAATTAATAAAATAAATTTAACCCCTGAGGGTTTAAAAAAATCCCTCAGGGGTTTAAAAAAAAAAGAAAAAATCAGATCATAGTAAAATGTAATCCCTGCCCATTGATCACTGTAGTCAGTAATCAATTGGCAGGGAAGAGGTTAATTTTTTTATTAAAATGGGTAAAGGGGGGTGTGATTTTAAATAAACTTTATTTTTTTTCTAACAGGGACAAGATCAGTGAATATCCGTCTCCCTGCACTTCACAGTGAACCCGGAAGTGCAGGGAAGCGGAAGGTGAGTATACTGAGCACATGTGCTCGCTCTGACAGGCTGGGGCAGCCCATTCGCGTGCTCCCGGTCTGCCTCTAATACATAGGCAGACCGGAGCACCATTAACCCCGCGATCGCTGCAATCTGAGGTTAATTTTACCGCGTGACGGACAAGGTCCGTCACTCGTCGTTAAGGGTTTCCCCTCTGTGACGGACCTTGTCCGTCACTCGTCATTAAAGGGTTAAGGACTGAGGCAGTTGTAAAAGTTGTGATCAAAACAAAACGTAAACAAAACCTTGAATTTGAACTATATATCTGTTCAGGCGTAATTCACACCTTTCATATTATGTGCACCCACACTTGTCATATATCATTTTGTTCAGGAGAAACAGGGCTTCCATGTCACATCAACTATTTGTATATTAAACATAATTTAATATGAATAAATTATATAAAAAAAAGAGAAATTAAGAATTTTTAAAAAAAATTTTTAGTTCTGCATGGCATTTTAACTGTGAATGTCACAATACTGTTACTGCAAAAAAGTACACATAATTGTATTCAGCGATGTCTCACGAGTAAAACAGTAGCCCCCAATGTACAGGTTTTATTGTGTTTTGGAAAGTTACAGGGTCAAATATAGCACATTAAATTTTTCAGTTTATACACACTGAAATTTGCCAGACTGGTTATGTTGCCTTTGAGAGCGTATGGTAGCCCAGAAATGAAAATTACCCCCATGATGGCATACCGTTTGCAAAAGTAGACAACCCAAGGTATTACAAATGGGGTATGTCCAGTTTTTATTTTTTTAATTTTTTTTGTAGCCACTTAGTCACAAACACAGGCCAAAGTTAGCATTCATATTTGTTGTGTGTGTGAAAAATGCAAAAAACTAAATTGAACGCTAATTTTGGTTACTAAAAAAAGACTGGACATACCCCATTTGCAATACCTTGGGTAATAGTTTAGGCAGGCCCCCTGCAGGCACTGCATAAGCGGGCTATTCTGGCCATGTGATCGAGATCACATAGCCGTGGGGTACCGGATTGGGCACGGGGTGTCTGCCTGAGCTTCTCGGGAGACCCAAGGATCGCGATCGCCGGTAAGTGCCCTGGACAGTGGGGACGTTCTATGCCGCCTGCCGGCGTTTAGGACCACCCCAAAAAGGACGGCATAGAACGCCCGCCGTCCTTAAGGGGTTAATGATATTTATTTTTTCATTACATTTTATTCTTTTGTTCCTTTTTTTTTTTTTTTTTTTACCCATTCTCCTTTCTATGTCAAGGCCTTAGATACATATTTTTTGTTGGCAAGAGCCATAGAAGTTGAGTGCCATGCTCCTCTGTGTACTTATACAATCTCCCATGGTTGGCTATAAAACTACTCCTTTTTCTCAAGCTGAGACTGATACATGAATCTCTCAGTCTTGTTTTTTTGTTTTTTTTATGTGAAAATGTAAGATAACTTCGACCTTGGTGGATTTTGGTGAAAATGTTATGAATTGTTTACTACACTATATTCTATTACATGTTGGGTGTCATATTACTCTACGTTTCATTAAACGTGTTGGATACTATTACAGATAAACTAAAATAGGGTAACTTAAAAATTTTTTGCAGTCGGCATGTATATGTTGTTTATTTTTCCTTAATGTTTCTTAACCCCTTGGCGACCGATGACGGTTCAGGACCGTCATCGGAAACATCCCCTTGGGGACCGATGACAGTCCTGAACCGTCATAACGTCTTGGGGGTACTTACCTGATTGCCGTCGGTCCCCCAGCGGCGATCAGCGCTCCTCCCGGTCCAGGGGGACTGCCTGTCTGCCCAGGCAGTCTCCCCGCAGCAGATCAGGACCCCGCGGTCACGTGATCACTCGATCACATGACCGCAATAGGTGTCTGTGTATCTGCCTGCAGGGGGATTGTCTGTGCTGACAGGCAGTCTCCCTGCAAGTAGAAAATCACAAAATAAAGTTAAAAAAAAATTTAATCTGTGTAAAAAAATGTGTGTGTGTGTGTGTATATATATATTATATATATATATATATATATAATGTCATATTAAGTATACTTTTATATTTATATATACATATATTAATATAAAAATGCACGTATAATTAAATTACACACGTATTGTATATATATTATTATAAAATATAAATAATACGTATATAAAAATAATAATAATATTATTACATTATTAAGTAATTTTATTGATTGCAATTTGAGGGACATGCCTGAGAACCCAGGCCGAAGGTCCAGAGAATTTAATTTGCTAGCACTATGTTTAACCCTGTAACTTTCTATGACACCCTAAAACCTGTTCATGGGGGGTACTGTTTTACTCGGGAGACTTCGCTGAACACAAAAATTAGTCTTTCAAAACAGTAAAACATATCACAGCGATGATATGGTCAGTGAAAGTGAAGTTTTTTT